ATGTGAGCGTAGCCTTGGTGTCATGTGTTATTCTTATCAGTCAGCCGCCAGACTTCCCACCTTCGAAAGTCTGACGTGTTTCATTTCATCTGCAGCACCTGCCGCCTTCCCACAGACAAACACACAGTGTGCCAATGCAAGGACATTTCTCCTTTTTCTGAAGTCACTTAAATTATTTATTTTCATGTTTCTTCATACTGGCAGAATCACACAGTTTACCGCTGTTACTTTTTGAAGTGGTGTTGAGTAACTACTACGTACATTTACTCAAGTACTGTACTAAGTACTGAGTATTTCAATGTTTTGCTACTTTGTTCTTTTACTCCACTACCATTCAGAGGTTGAAAGTGTACTTGTACTCCACTACATTTATTAGATAACTTTAGTTACTTTACAGATTTGGATGAATGATGTGAAATACAATCAACTCTTAAATCAGACTTTAGTTCCACCTGGAGTAAAGCTACCCTGCAGTATACAAAGTCATTAAAACTAGCTGCACCTTTACCAGCTTTGAGAACACTTTAATGATCAATCATTATAAAACATATAATATATATTATTCTGAAATGGACCAATCTGCACAATGACTACTTTTACTGTTGCTACTTTAACTATATTTTGATGCTAATACATTTTTTCTTTTACTTGAGTAACATTTTGATTGCGAGACTTTTACGGATTATTCCTACACTCATGGTACTTCTACTTTCACTCAAGTACAAGATCTGAGTACTTCTCTCACCTGAAACAATTTGACAATGTCAAATGATCTCACAGTCAAACAGCAGGTGTTAGATCAACACATTGTTTGCTAAATGGGAAAGGTAAATGACAAGATGAGTCATATCATGCGGTTATGTTCATGTAGTATTATTAGATGGTTTAGTTGAATACTCGATTCTGATTGGTCAATTTAGAACACGTGACACGTTGTTAATCCAGTAGTACAGACCACTGTCAATGATTTATTGACCGTTGTTAAGGACGCTCACATCTGCAGAAAGAAGTCCGGTCGATTTAACTGTACAGTTTGGCCGAAAGCTTGTCTTTAGTTTTCCGTTGTCTACCGTCTGAGAGCAACATGGAGGATTTAAATATTAATTTGTAATATATTTGGAGAGCACAGTCAGACTCATTTGGATGAATGGTTAGTGGCTGATGAGTCCCCAACGAAGAAAAGAAAAAGACAAGAGGGACAAGAAAACAGCGGAGAAGTAACGGGGCAGAAACCCTCAACACGGAGCTACGGTCCTTTTTACTCAACGGTCCAGACATAGACATCAAACGGCAACACATATTCAGTTGCCTGTTACTTTGGCCTTAGGGCAGGGATATCTAGATAATTTGCCAGGTTTGACATAATGAATTGTGCTACTTTTAAAGCAAGCAACGATGTTTTCAAATCTGTAATCAAAAAGCAAAATGCTATCGAAGCAGTTCCTGCCGTTGCTACGTAGTTCGAACGGTAACAACGGACTATTTTTCTTAGCGGATGCATGTCATTTTAAATCAATAAAACTATTTTTTAAATCAATAAAAACATTTTCTAAATCTTCAGCCTGTCGGGTGTTCTTTTACCCATAATGACCAAGTCGCTGCACATTATCTCGCTTATTACATGGCCACATTCTCAACAAAGTAACGACATGACTCCCAATATTAATTGAAATGTTTTTATTGATTTAAAAAATAGTATTATTGATTTAAAAAATAGTTTTATTGATTTAAAATGACATGCATCCGCTAAGAAAAATAGTCCGTTGTTACTGTTTGAACTACGTAGCAACGGCAGGAACTGCTTCGATAGCGTTTTGCTTTTTGATTACAGATTTGAAAATATCGTTGCTTGCTTTAAAAGTAGCACAATTCATTATGTCAAACCTTGGAAAGTATCTAGATATCCCTGCCCTAATGCCAAAGTGACTGGCAACTGAAAATATGGTTTCAAAAATATGTTTTGCCGTTTGATTTCCATGTCTGGACCGTTGCGTAAAAAGGACCGCAGCTCCGTGTTGAGGGTTTCTGCCCCGTTACTTCTCCGCTGTTTTCTTGTCCCTCTTGTCTTTTTATTTTCTTCGCTGGGGACTCATCAGCCACTAACCATTCCTCCAAATTACTGTGCTCTCCAAATATATAAAAATTAGTATTACAATCCTCCATGTTGCTCTCAGACGGGAGACAACGGAAAACTAAAGACAAGCAAACAGTTTGAAAAGTAAACTGCATGCAGAAACTGTATAGCCTACTACAGTTAAATCGACCGGACTTCTTTCTGCAGATGTGAGCGTCCTTAAAACGGTCAATAAATCCTTGACAGCGGTCTGTACTACTGGATTACGTAACAACGTGTCACGTGTTCTGAATTGACCAATCAGGATCGAGTATTCAACTAAGGCTAAACCATGTAATAAAGGAAGTTACAAAACAAAGAGGAACATAAATGAGCAGAAGTTGAAATCTCTGACTTTATTTCCTCATTTATCATTTCCTTAAAACTTTAAACCCTTCATTTGACGGAAATGAAGCAAGACAGCATAGAGAATGGACTTTTGTGGTGTCTACACGTTATATAATATTCTCCCAAATATCAGGTAAGTGTTTTGTTGTTTTATGTTAATGCTTGTAGATACATTTGTAATGTGATTGTGATGTAAAATGTAAACAGCTCTCTGTCTCAACACTAAAGCCTTCAAAATACTTGCTGTCTATTTGTTGCACTTGAAGAATAACAGGATTGGTTTGCCATTTCCCTATTTATACTGTAAAGATGTTTTATACATTTGGTAAACACCTCACTTTTCTATGGGCTCAGAACAGTCTCATAATACACACATGCACACAGAAGGATTCACACTTGTATTTCATGATCCGCACTTGTTTTTCAATGCACACACAAATGTGTTCCGTTTCATATACATGTAAATAAAATCCAAATACAGAAAAAAGTTTTACATATGTATTTTTGAGCCTCTATTTGTTTTCCGTTTAAAACCGCTGCACCTACAAACACAAACCGCTTTCTGTGCATGGATCGCTGTGCATTCGTGTGTGGGTTTTTTGAGACTCCCCTGATGGTCACCCGATTCGTACTTGTAATTTTTTCTATCTATAGCCAATCAGTTGTCTCCTCAATTCTAAGCCAATCACATGAGCGCGCCCCCACGAGGGTAGATTTCTTGCGTTCATGACGTAGCGCTTCATGTACGCATTTTGCGCTGTCCGGAGCTGGCAGGTCCATGGAGCCTGCCTGCAGGCGCTAATCTCAGGACACTTCCACTCTCAGTACATTGCCACTTTCCGAGCAGGAAATGCACGCAAATACAAGCCTTTATATTATTAAGGGACAGTGCCACTTTCCGAACCATTAATGAATGCTTGTGTACACAAAAACGGCAGGCAAAACCGTTTTAAATGTGTGTTTCCTGTATGGCGAATACAGCTGCTTTATTTATGTCTGTATGAAGTTGTTGTGAGTGTGGAGGGAGCAGCTACAGGTTAGCTTAGCCTAATCGATCAGTGCACTACGAAGCCAGTGCTAGACAGTGAACTGTCAACGGGGGGAGCCTCGCCGGTCATTATAGGCCGATATTCACTCTTAATAGTTTGATCGGTGCTCTCTATAAAGGCCGATCAGGAGAGCTGGATCTGATCGATATGGACATAAACGCGAGTAAAGTTTTAGCGAGCTGCATGACGGGCTGTCAGGAGAGAGGGAGGGAGAGAGGAAAAAAGAGATGATCCTTACGGCCCGTCCACACAGCAGCGTTAAAAAAATCTTGGAGGTGGGCGTATCTGAAGCTTGGGGATTTTTTGCGAGCAAGGCACCAACAACCAATCACATGAATCTCCCGCCCCCGACATACGAAGCAAAAAAGCCTGAAGTAAACTGGATATAAACTCCCCAAACAGGCGAAAACCTACCACTGTCTCTGCCACCTCCCTCCATGCCTGGCTCCTCCGGTTTATATCCCGGTAGGTAAATAGGGACTGGTCATAAAGCACCGGGTGATTCCCTACCGCTAATTTCTCCTCCATTTTTTGGAATATGAGGAAATGACCTGCGGTATGTCTCTCCCAGCATACACGCGGTTTGATTGGCTAGCGCTTGAACTGTCAGATTTGCATACACGGCATTTGATTGGCTGACGCTTCCACCTCAGCTTCAAAAGTTGAACATTGCTCAACTTTGAATCCTGAAAATCCTGAAAATCTCCGCTCTGCTGCCCACAATGCAGTTCGGCGAAAAGTGAGGCAAAGTGACGTCACCCCATTCAAAGTGAATGGGCAGAAGCGTTCCAAGATTTTTTAACGCTGCTGTGTGGACGGTCCGTGAATCCTGAAAATCCTGAAAATCTCCGCTCTGCTGCCCACAATGCAGTTCGGCGAAAAGTGAGGCAAAGTGACGTCACCCCATTCAAAGTGAATGGGCAGAAGCGTTCCAAGATTTTTTAACGCTGCTGTGTGGACGGTCCGTTACTCCCGTGTTATTAGCCATATCCGGTCATAGTCCGGTAATTACCTGCTAACGGAAACTCTGCTACACAATTCTTATTATTATTGAAACATGACCGGTAAGTTTCAAATTTGTCCGGTAAAATAAATTCTGTCCGCGGGGACCCGCTCATGTGATTGGCTTAGAATGAAGGAGACATCTGATTGGCTATAGATAGAAAAAATTACAAGTACGAATCGGGTGACCATCAGGGGAGTCTCAAAAAACCCACACACGAATGCACAGCGATCCATGCACAGAAAGCGGTTTGTGTTTGCAGGTTCAGGGGATTTAAACGGAAAACAAATATGTGAGGATCAAAAATACATATGTAAAACTTTTTTCTGTATTTGGATTTTATTTACATGTATATGAAACGGAACACATTTGTGTGTGCATTGAAAAACACAAGTGTGGATCCGGAAATACAAGTGTGAATCCTTTTGCGGATCATGAAATACAAGTGTGAATCCTTCTGTGTGCATGTGTGTATTATGAGACTGTTCTGAGCCCATACTTTTCATCTAGTTCCATCATCAGGGCACATTTTGACTTTGTTCAATACTTTGGGTTATGTCTAAACCAGGGGTCTCCAACACGTCGATAGCTCGCGGGCAGCTTTTCAGTAGCTCGCCGCTCGCGGTTCACAGACTGTAGAAAAAATCCGACGACAATAAATGCTCCTGACTCAGTCCGTGTCGCTGCGGCTCCTCAGACACACATGGATTTATGTTTTAAAAAATACTCGTGTTAGCACCATGTCAGGTTTTTAGTGGATTTAATCAAGTCTTGGATTTGTTAGAAATTTAAAATCAATGTTTACAGATGAAGAACTCATTAATTTCAGTATTGTGTTCACACCTTAAAAGGTGTGAAAGGAGGGATTGTTAGAAATTAAAATCAATGTTTAATATAATAATTAGTCTAAAATATATCGTCAGTTTAAAAGCTGTTTTATTGTGAAAAAACCCGGAAGTTCTCATACAATCTCAATGCCAAGCTTTTATTCCTTCATATCCGGTCAGTATGTAGCATGTCGCTAACAATGTTTTAAATTAACTATTACAGCTGTTTATAAGGTATTAAATAGAAAGTCATGAAAGAGATAAGGAGGATAAAAGACTTAAGGAAGTAGGCACTCTCAGAGAGATGACCTAATCAGAGAAACTAAGACAATGAGAAAGAGGAGGGAAGTTCCCTCCCTACACCAACTATTAGAAGTATTCGATGTTCTCGCGTCCAGGAGAGGAGCTTAGAATGAAGAGACTAATGGAGTCTCCGAAAAGGTTCAAATTGGTGAGTTTAATTAAATGGCACGATGATACAACAAGCAGAGGGTAGGGAAAAGACAAAGCAGGTGATGTCTCTCGTGACGATATATTTTAGACTAATTATTATATTAAACATTGATTTTAATTTCTAACAGATTGCAGAGTATGAATGTCCTCTTCTTGCTATTTTCAGTTGATAAATACTTGTGTAAAGTTTGTGAAGGCAGGAGGAAAAAAGCTTCCGCGATCACCGTCTCCTCTGTTCCTCCAAACCCCGCCCTCTCCCTAAAAATAATGAGTGACAGGCTGATAGTAACCTGATAGAAACTTTATTATTCACTTAATCACTGATTGAGATGATAAAGCTAACTTAATCTCATACATTCATGGGATTTATGTAACAGTATAGAGAATGTAAGTGTGCACCCACATGCACTATTTTTGTTTTTATATGCTGTAACTTGTAAATACTCCTGTTGTCTGCTGTGTTCAGACTCAAGTCATGTTTGTGATGCCACATTCAGGACCTTCAGTGTCCTTTTTTTAACAGAAGACCATTGCTAGAAGCTGCAGCTAGACTGCAGAAGTATTAGTTTTTTGTTTTTGAGGGTGGAACAATTTCACACACAGATATAGGGAGGCTAGACCTATACAATTGATTTATTATGGTTTATAATTTAATGTCAAGACGAAGAAGAAGAAGATGGCTGAACTGTTCAGTGTCAATCCTGTGGAGATGGAGATGGAGGTTATAAATCTCCAAAATCATGTTCAGCTTAAGTCTCGGCAAAACTCACAACATTTCTGGAGCCTTGTAGACCCAGAAAACTATAAGAACATCACCAAGCAGCACTGAAAATGTCTGCTTTATTTGGCTCTACATACCTTTGTGAAGCAGCTTTTTCTGACATGAATGTCATGAAATCTAAATACAGAACAAGACTGACTGATGAACATTTAAATGACTATTAGAGTGAACCTGGGTACACTCCAGCATACACCTCTGGTGGACTGTGAAAAAGAGTGAATGCCACTTATTTTACACATGTGCCATAAGATGCTTGTAAGGTGGTGATTAAGGTGATGTATTTACTATGTGGGCCATAATAAGAAGTGAAAAAATTGTCTTTTTTTCTTGGACATTTATGTGAATTTTCTGTGATGTATTTACATGTGGGCTATAATAATATGTGAGAAATTGTCATTTTCTTGGACCTTGATGTGAAGTTAAGATTTTTTATAAGCTTTGGGTATTCACACGTGTACAATAGCTTAATTCAACTGGTGAGTGCTATTTGAATAAATGTAAGCGATGTGATGCAAGTAGCTCTTGGCCACTTTCATTTTTTCAACGTAGCTCTCAGATAAGGAAAGGTTGGAGACCCCTGGTCTAAACCAACAAGTCCTCCAACTAATACGACCAAATAGGTCGATTGTTCAAGCCCTTATTAAGACCAAATAGGTCGATTGTTCAAGCGCTTATTACGACCTATAATCACGTTTTAAAGTTTTAGACCTCTAGTGCTCCCGTTGACTGAAAACGCTCCGGTGGGTCGTATATTCACAAATAGAGAACCGCGTCCTGAAACCCGGAAGTAAACTCCTTCCGGTTCCTTCGACAAAAACCAATGCAATTTCTCCATAGGATTTGGGAAAATAGCTCGAAATAAGGTCTGTGGTTGACACACATTTAAGAGACAGATCACGTTTTGTTCAGCCGGATAATATCCACATGTTTACCCTACTTTTATAATTTTCTAATCATAAATCTATCGATTAGATTTATGATTATTATTACAGCAAAGCGGATGTTTCTCCGAATCGAAGGTTAAAAACACAAAAGCATTGTACACAATACATGTAACATGTAACGCTTTCTTTAGTTAACTTCTAAGTACATTTTTAATGATGTTACCTTTCTTGTCAAGTGGTGTCTGGTGTCAACATAGCCTCTTTTTAGAAGTAACAGACTTTAACTCCTTAACAATTGTTTTTGCTTTATTCCTCCTGCTCTTTTACAACTTCCATTTCATGGTGCTTTAGTCAAGGATGGCTCTATTTAAAATGAAACCAAGACCACCAGTAGGAGCTTTAAATGGCCAGAGTCTACATACCAATCATGTTAGCCAATCAGAACTTTTTTGTTACAGACCTTGAGGTTGAAAACAACTGCCTTATTTCAGCAGAGAGCCACAATGAATGCAGAAGACCTTTTAAACACTTTGGAAGATTTGAAAGAAAATGAATTTAAGGCCTTCAAGTGGCATCTGCAGCAACCTGGAGTCCTGGAAGGCGACCAAGCCATTAAAGAGTCCAAGCTGGAGAAAGCAGAGAGGCGGGACACAGTGGATCTGATGGTGAACACCTACAAACTCCATGGAGCACTCAAGCTGACCAAGAAGGTTTTAGAGAAGATACCCAGAAATGATCTGGTGCAGAGGCTTTCATACGCCAGCTCAGGACCAGAAGGTAAGTTACACTGTTTTATTTTGCATTTTTTGGTAAAAGCAGTTGTTTAACACACTACTATTTTAGGGGAACAGGATCTTTTTAGTGTGGTCTTTTATGTATTGGGGTAATCACCAATGAGTTATGTACTGTATGTGAGGTTAATGTGTTGATGACCTGAAATAAAGAAGTAGCATTGTTGTTAAAGAATGTATGTATTTCAGTAAGAGTTACCCTGAGCATAAGAATAAGTCAACATTGTGCAGACTTTTAAAGTCTTTGGGATGTTGGAAGAACGCTGATCAGCTGCTTGAAAACGCTGATAACCTTAATGATTAATAATTTGTCAAAATGATGAAATAATACATAACCTCTCTCTCACAGTCTCAGTTGCTGTCAAAGATGTTGGAGAGACTTCAGAGAGCAGAGGGACTACCTTCTTTCAGAGGGAAGGTAAAGCTGCGGTTTTCTCTGGTAAAAGGTTTTTAATAATTAAGTGTAATTATTTTAAATGTGTGGTCACACTGCTGTTGTAAGACATTATGACAGCATTATAACTGAGTACAAGTTTAACATGTTCCTTTAATTCATTCTTATAAAAGTTGCTCAGTGGTCCACGTCCAAATATACTTTAATCTTCCAGGGATCTTCCAATGGTTTTCCCATAGAGCATGCGAGACAACTTGCTCCACCTTTATGTTAAAGTTTGTTTGCAGTTTTGTATTTTCTTGAGAAACAAACCTTCGGTAAACCCAAAGCAAGTTGTTTACTGATGATTGTGAGAATACTATAGATGCATCTGTGGACTGATTCTATATCGTCGATTTTTCTTTCAATGTCACACAGATGTGATTGTTCCAGTACCAGAGCCACAGCCCATCACATATTACCAAAAGTTGCTTCAATCACACTTCCAGGACAAGTTTATGTGCGCACAAGAAGGGTGGTTACAGAAAAAGGATGAGCAACGTCTTGATGATATCTACACAGAGCTGTACATCACAGCTGGGGGGGACGTAAACATCAACACACAGCATGAGGTCAGGCAGATCGAGGCGTTGGTGGTGAAGCCAGCAGGAACAGAGAAAACAATTAAACACAGTGACATGTTCAAACCCCCCTGTGGAAGATATAAACCCATAAGAACAGTACTGACCATTGGCATTGCAGGAATTGGCAAATCATTCCTTGTACGCAAGTTTGTGTTGGACTGGGCTGAAGGAAGAACCAACCAAGACGTACATCTAATTTTCCCTTTCAGCTTCCGCCAACTGAATTTGTTTAAGGGAGAAAAGTTTAGTTTGGTAAAGCTCATTCAGGAATGCATCCAGGAAACCAGAGACATGAAGGAAGAAGTTATGAATCACATCTTTACAACTCTGCAGTCATCAGGAAACACCAACTATGACAAGAGCAAGTTTAAACTTCTGTTTGTTTTGGATGGACTGGATGAGAGCCGCCTTGATCTGAACTGCTCTACTAGTGAATACGAGGCAGTTAACATTGATGTGACAGCGTCAATGTCAGTGGATTTGCTGTTGACAAATCTCATCAAGAAGAACCTGCTTCCCTCTGCTCGCCTCTGGGTAAGCACACGCCCTGCAGCAGCCAATCAGATCCATTCAGATTTTGTTGACATGGGGACAGAGGTGAGAGGGTTTACTGATTCACAGAAGGACGAGTACTTCAAGAAGAGAATCAGAAATGAGGAGCAGGCCAGCAGAATCATCTCCCACATTAAGATATCACGAAGCCTCCACATCATGTGCCATATCCCAGTCTTCTGCTGGATCACTGGTACAGTTCTGGAGGATATGTTGAAAAGCAGAGGGCTGGGAGAGCTGCCAAAAACCCTGACTGAGATGTATGCAGAGTTCCTGATGTTTCAGATTCACCAGACAAAAAAGAAGTATGCCCACACCCAGTGCATTAAATACATGAAGTCATTGGCAAAACTTGCTTTCCGCCAGTTGGAAAAGGGAAACATGATCTTCTATGAGAAAGATCTCAAAGAGAGTGGCATTGATGTCAGCAGAGCCTCAGTGTGCTCAGGAGTTTTTACAGAAATCTTCAAAGAGGAACGTGGGAGGAAGCATGATGAACGCAAGATGTTTAGCTTCGTCCATCTCAGTGTGCAGGAGTTTTTTGCGGCTCTCTATGTAGAGAGCTCAGTCATTGACAGAAAAAAGAATGTGATGTGTGACCCAGGCCAAACAACTTGGGCAGTTGAGAAAATGAGAATGTTTTTCAGAAAAACATCTTTGACAGAGGTTCACATATTTGCTATTGACAAGGCCTTGCAGAGTGAAAATGGACACCTGGATCTCTTCCTTCGATTCCTCCTTGGTCTTTCACTGCCAGCCAATCAGACTGTCCTGAGAGACCTTCTGAATACGAAAATAACCTCAACAACCGATCAGGAAACGGCTGGATACATCAAGAAGAAGATCAGTGAGAATCTGTCTCCAGAGAGAAGCATCAATCTCTTTCATTGTCTGAATGAACTGAATGATCGTTCTCTAGTGGATGAGATCCAACAGTTCCTGAGTTCAGGAAGTCTCTCCACAGATAAGCTGTCTCCTGCTCAGTGGTCAGCTCTGGTCTTCATCACACTTTCATCAGAATGTGATCTAGAAGTGTTTGACCTGAAGACATATTCTGCTTCAGAGGAGGCGCTTGTGAGGCTGCTGCCAGTTGTCAAAGCCTCCGGAAAAGCTCTGTAAGTGCACAGATTACTGCATGTACTAACGGTATCACAGAAGGTTGTTCTTAAATAACCTATTAGTGAACTGAAAAAAGGATTAAGTCAACAAATTGATTAGTTATACAATATATTTAAAAGTCTTTCAACTTGTTTCTTCAGTAGGATTGTACCTCCACGGATACAAAGGTGCAGCAGACAGTGAAATTAATTGAAGGCATTATGTATTTCTGTACGTTATGGTAACGATGGGTACTGTTTGACAGTCAGTTTCCAGGAATTCATGAATTTTTGATACACCTCAGAAATGGAAGCCATATACATGTGTTTCTAACCTTGCAGAAATACAAAAAGTATCTAGTGTGTTTTTCTAAATAACTTCATTTTCTTCAGGCTCAGTGGCTGTAATCTTTCAGAGAGAAGCTGTGAAGCACTGTCGTCAGTTCTCGGCTCACATTCCTCTAGTCTGAGGGAACTGGACCTGAGTAACAACAAACCGAAGGACCCAGGAGTGAAGCTGCTCTGTGCTGGACTGGAGAGTCCAAACTGTGCGCTCGAGATACTCAGGTCAGATCTTACTCTGATGCTTTTTTGTAGTGCTGTGTTGCAGAAAGTAGGATGAAAAGAAAGTGTTTTTCTAACAAATGTTTCATTTGTTTCTGCTGTGTTTTGACTACCATTTATTTGTACTTTTTATCATAAGAAGAATGTGAAGATGTGTAAAGAATCTGTAGTGTGAAAGCAAAACCTAATTCTCTTTCAGGTTGAGTCAAGCCAGGTTAACAAAGCAAAGCTGTCAGGAGCTTTCATCAGTTCTCCGCTCACAGTCCTCTCGTCTGAGAGAGCTGGACCTGAGTAACAACGACCTGCAGGATTCAGGAGTTGGGCTGCTCTCTACTGGACTAGAGAGTCCAGACTGTACACTGGAGACTCTCAGGTCAGATCATCCAGTTCTGCTTTTAGGGAGCAACATGTTTTCTCATTTTACAAGGGTTTTTTGTTTGTGTTTTATAAAGTAGCGGAAAGACACCTAAATTACAGTTTACATTTAGAGTAAATGTAATAAAACATATCACACCTCACATTCATTCTAAGCTCCTTGTCTTTTAGGCCACATTTACACGAGAACGAAACGGCTTGTATCTGCATAGTTTCTCTTGCGTATAGCCCTATTATTTACACGAGGCCGTAACAAACGGACCCCACAAACGATAACGGGTCCCAAGGTGGATAGATTTGCAAACGAAACGCTCTGGGGGGTCAAACGAGTCAGTGTAATCGCCTCTATACGAATATTTCCTGAAAAAATAACGATAGCCCCACCTCTCCTGCTCACTGCTGTAGCATGGCCAGTAGCTACTGTCAGTAGCTACTGCTAGTGCTACTGCTACTGACCATGCTACTGATGTTAGTGCAAAATCTACAGCTCCTCTACCACAACCATCAGCAACAAGTGGACATGGAGAATTACATTAACTACTACATGTTGCTAAATCCACCGCGGGGCATAAACAGAAGGGTAGCCATGGCAACATTGCTGCGGGGCTGCTCCAGGGTCTTCTTTGCTGCTTTTGGTGTATTTTGGCGGAAGTTACAGCGCCACTTACAGTCCCGGCATATGTACTACAGCGTTTCCAGCGGTCTCGTTTGAACAGACACGTTAAATGAAACTAATGCATGTGAACGGAAGACTTTTTTGAAAGCGCATACTGTGCATAAACGCAAACGTTCCCGTGTAAAAGCAGCCTTAGTCTGAGAGAGCTGGAACTAGAGGCAATATCCTCCATTTGCAATAAGTAACTTTTCAACAGAATAAGGAAATACTAAAATCGGTTTTCTTACATTGTACACAACATAAACAGTTTCAGTGCTTGATACTATCATTAACTCTCCCACAGACTGAGTGGTTGTCATCTTTCAGAGAGAAGCTGTGAAGCTCTGTCTTCAGTTCTCAGCTCACACTCCTCTTCTCTGACAGAGCTTGATCTGAGTAACAATGACCTTCAGGATTCAGGAGTGAAGCTGCTCTCTGTTGGACTGGAGAGTCCAAACTGTTCACTGAAGACCCTCAGGTTAGATCTCACTGAAACTTGTTAAACGCTGTATTGTGCCTCAAACATCAAATGTTTTATTGTGTAATTTTCAATTGAAATGACTTCATGATAAACTTTGAACCAAAAAAATAAAAAACGTATTCACTTGATAAATACACCATACACTTGTGTATGTATTCAGCCATTTAAAACAAATATGTGTAGTATAATTCCAAAACTTGAAATGTACTGAGACTCCAAACTGAAACATATGAATGTCATGTTTGCTTATTTACATTATAGGTTGAGTCAAACTGGGCTTAAAAATAAATGCCAGGAGCTTTCATCAATTCTCAGCTCCCAGTCCTCTGGACTGAAAAATCTGGATCTGAGTAACAACGACCTGCAGGATTCAGGAGTGGAGCTGCTCTCTGCTGGACTGGGGAGTCCACATTGTATGCTGGAGACTATGAGGTTATAAATCATCTTTCATTAAATATTACTGGACATACAAGTTGATTTCATGGATGTTGTCAAATAAAATTATTACTTTTTTAACACTTTCTGAAAGAACATCTATAGAATGGCTGGATATGTGTAATTTTTTTAAAATTATGAACCAAAAACTTAAAACATTTATGACGTGTGTGTGTGTGTGTGTGTGTGTGTGTGTGTGTGTGTGTGTGTGTGTGTGTGTGTGTGTGTGTGTGTGTGTGTGTGTGTGTGTGTGTGTGTGTGTGTGTGTGTGTGTGTGTGTGTGTCTCTCCAGGCTATCAGGCTGTCTGATCACAGAGGAAGGCTGTACTTCTGTGGTTTCAGCTCTGAGATCCAACCCCTTACATCTGAAGGTGCTGGATCTGAGTTACAATCATCCAGGAGACTCAGTAATAAAGGAGCTGTCTGCTGGACGGGAGGATCCACATTGGAAACTGGAACTCAGGTGCAAACAGACTTTTCTCTGAAAATACTGACAATTCCACAACATTACAATTTGAATTACAATATGTGCAAATGTATTACAAAGTGTGCAATCAATGACGAGGATAAAAACTCAAAAGCAATAATTCTCCAAGATGAGGAAGCTTCTCAAGGTTTATTCTGACGTTGTTTCTTCCTCCAGGGTGGAACATTGTAGAGAGCAGATGCTAAAACCTGGTCTAAGGAAGTGTAAGTTTGTGTTCACTTTCATTTATGAAAAATAGAAAAGCCAATCTATCTGCAGCAATTCTCAGTTTTGAAGAAGATTCAAAACAATGAGTCATTTTAAAGATCTGTTTTAATTAACAGTCAGCCTTTTATTAAAGCAACAAATAAACCCATCAGGTGTGTTGGATGATAAACTGGTGTGATATTGTGTTTTTCGTCAGATGCCTGTGAACTTAAAATGGACACATACACAATGAACAGAAACCTTAAGCTGTCTGACAACAACAGGAAGGTGACATCAGTGACTGAGGAGCAGCCATATCAAGATCATCCAGAGAGGTTTGACTACTGGCCTCAGCTGATGTGTAGCAATGGTCTGACTGGTCGCTGTTACTGGGAGGTTGAGTGGAGAGGAAGGGTCTTCATATCAGTGACTTACAGTGGAATCGAAAGAAAAGGAAACAGAGGTCGCTGCAGGTTTGGAGGGAATGATCAGTCCTGGAGTCTGTCGTGCTCGGATGCTGAAGGTTACTCAGTCTGGCATAACAAGAGAAGTATATACCTCCCTTACTCCTCCTCCTCCTCCTCCTCTTCCTCCTCCTCCTCCTCCTCTGTCTCTAACAGAGTAGCAGCGTATGTGGACTTTCCTGCAGGAACTCTTTCCTTCTACATTGTCTCCTCTGACACACTGATCCACCTCCACACTTTGCAAACCACATTCTCTGAACCTCTTTATCCTGGATTTGGCTTTGGGCTTGGGTTATTGCCATATAGTCCCTCTGTGTCTCTGTGTTCACTGTAGGAGGGAGAGTCTGAAAAACACACATGCACTTTTTCACCCAAAAAAAGTCCACGGTCACAAAGTGTTGTCTGTCTTCCTGATGCACACTCTTATCGTTTAGTTGTAATGTCATTTTTTGTGGTTATCAATTTCCCAAAATACCCAGGATAGACCAACAAAATGTGAACACAAAGAGCAAAGATTAACGTTACTGTCTGAACGCAATGTGCTTTGTATTGACTCACCTTATGCTCTTTTATTATGTCACTTTATGTCTGCACATTTTAAGTGCCTTAAACCACATTTTAAAGATGATTTTGTTCTGATTTGTCCGATAAAGACGTTTTTCTCAAATTAGTAGTCCATAATGTCGGTGTCCAAAAAAATCAGGTTTCAGACCCACATGATAATATCAAAAATATGATTGTTTCTTCAAACCAATGTATTAGATAGATAGATAGATAGATATAGAGAGAGAGAGAGAGAGAGAGAGAGAGAGATAGATAAGAGAGAGAGAGAGAGAGAGAGAGAGAGAGAGAGAGAGAGAGAGAGAGAGAGAGAGAGAGAGAGAGAGAGAGAGAGAGAGAGAGAGAGAAGAGGAGCGATAGATAGCTAGATGTGTAGAGGAGAGAAGAGAGAGGAGAATAAGCGGTTATGATGGATGGATGGATGGATGGATGGATGGATATAGATATAGATATAGATATAGATATAGATATAGATATAGATATAGATATAGATATAGATATAGATAGATAGATAGATAGATGTCTTTCATCTTAGTTGTTGTCACAGGGTCTCATTAAAAATCATTTAATGTAAAAGAAAATTGAAATAAATTGTTAATTTGTATATTGAAACATGTACATGTAGTTTATATTTCATACATTTGTATTTTGATAGTTTTTTATTGTTAGTCTGATAGGCACTAGGAAATAATTGAATGTTTGTTGGTCGTAATGTGTGTACCTGCCTGGGGACTGCAGATGGAAGTTCGCTTTTATCTATCTGGCATATACTGTAGCATCTCTCCTCTTTTTGAGATGAATGTATTTGTATGCACGGTCCTTGTTCAATAAATATATAATTATGTAATCAAGAGATACATGTTTTTTATTGGACGTAATTAAAGTAAGTAAAATATTTCCTTCGTAATACAGTGAAGAACAAAGTAAAATTAAATGGAAATACTTAAGTACAGTAAAAGTTCCTCAGAATGATTCCTTGAGTACAGTACTTCAGTGAATGCAGAGGTGAGAAGTACTAAGAACTTGTACTTGAGTAGTACCAGAGTGTAGGAATACTCTGTTAAAAGTAAAAGTCCTGCATACGAAAGTAAAAGTAGAAAAGTATTAGTATACAAATATACTTAAAGTACAAAAGTAAAAGTACTCACTATGCAGATTGGTCAATTTCAGAATAATATATAATATATGTTTTATAATGATTGATCATTAAAGTGTTCTCAAAGCTGGTAAAGGTGCAGCTAGTTTGAATGACTTTGTATACTGCAGGGTAGCTTGTGAATTTACTCCAGGTGGAACTAAAGTCTTATTTAACACTTGATTATATTTCACATCATTCATCCACATCTGTAAAGTAACTAAAGGTATTAGATAAATGTAGGGGATTGAAAGGACACAATTTACGTCTGACTTGTAGTGGGGTAGAAGTACAAAATATCATAACATAGAAATACTCAAGTAAAGTAAACATATCTCAAAAGTACAGTACTTGTGTAAATGTATGTAAGTACTTTCCACCACTGAAGCTAAACTTTGGACAAATCTTGAAAGTCACGTGATGGTTATAGGCGCCTACAATATTGCCTGACTGCAACACATTATACAATCATTGACGTGTTTAAGAATTTCTCATATTTTTTCGTATGATAAATAATACATTATAATATAAGAGAAGCTATGCATTTCATAATGAATTGTGTAATTTTTAAAGGGTAGCTAAATGCTATTGTTGAACAAATAGTTCAGGCAGCTGCTCAGCCGCCTTTATTCCGGATCTGTTCATCATGGTCTAACTGAAGGAACAGCTGATTTCTGAAGGTGAGAGCAGATCATTAATATATCATTATTATATCGTTTCTTGTTCATTTATCATTATACATTGATGGTTTAGCTTGTTTTCTGCTGTTCATTTGCGTAAAAAGCTCTTCAACAAGTCAGGGTTGGCAGCTAACAGCCTGCTAGCATCATACTGCTAGCTTTGTTAGCTTACACAACTGTTAGCAGGTTAACCTAAAGTCACTGATGTAACGTTTCAAAAACACACATGTTCAGTTTCACGTTTTCCTACAGGATGTAGCATTTAACAATTGCAGTGTATGTTTCTAGCTAGTTTATGCTGCCATAATATCAGAGGTGGAAGAAGTACTTAGATCTAGTACTTGAGTAAAAGTAGAAGTACCAGAGTGTAGGAATACTCTGTTACAAGTAAAAGACCTGCAATCAGTTTTAGCATCAAAATATACCAAAAGTAAAAGTAGTCATTGTGCAGATTGGTCCATTTCAGAATAATATATATGATATGTTTTATAATGATTGATCATTAAAGTGTTCTCAAAGCTGGTAAAGGTGCAGCTAGTTTGAATGACTGTGTGTACTGCAGGGTAGCTTGTGAATGTACTCCAGGTGTAGCTAAAGCATTATTTAAGGGTTAATTTGACATCATTAATCCAAATCTGTAAAGTAACTAAAGGTATTAAATAAATGTAGTGGATTGAAAGTACACTATTTACCTCTGAATTGTACCGGAGTAGAAGTACAAAGTAGCATACAACGGAAATACTCAAGTAAATGACAAGTACAGTACTTGAGTAAATCTACTTTACAACACGTCATAATATAGTTACCTTGCTCCCCAGTTTTTTTTGCAATATTTCAGTCAGCTTTTTTTACACCTAGCTCACATTACTGCAGTCTTTACTTCCTTTCCACACCCTTTACTTTAAGGGTACTAAAACCACACTGTTATTATTATCTGTTACAAGTAAAAGGCTAAGTATTATCAGGACATGTATTGAATGATGGTCCCATGTTATACAGTATATTATATCATTACATAATGATTACCCATGTATTCATGTCAAAGCAGGATTTTACTGTTGTAGTTGGTTGAGGTGGAGCTCCTGTTGAACTTTTAAATCATTCTTATTTTCATTGTGGATTACTATCTCCATTAATACATTGATTGGTTTATGGTTACAAAAGTGAGAAATGCTTTTAAAGTTTGTAATAACAAGTTTGCAATTACACTAAAAGTGTTTGGCTTGTCAAAATGTCCTAAAATAACAAGAAGGTTATTATATTATTTTTACTATCGCAGTTTTAGAGCTAGGCATTTTTGTTCCACATTTTGTTGGTGATACAAGGAAAAAGACAACAATAGATCTGTATTTAATTTGAAGGTACAGCTGACATCCATTCTTGTTTGTGTTTCGCAGCTTAAAGCCTGCCTGTCATGGGTCTGGCTAATTTCTGGAGGAACTACAAAGTCTTGATTGTGACGGTCCCGGGTGTGGGGCTGATCCACTGGGGCTGGCTCAAACTGAGGGCAAACTCTCTGCTGATGAAAGACCCACAGCAATACATCCCCGAACCCAGCATCGTCACTTTTATTTCAGCTGTTGGTTCAGCTCTGGCTGCTCCTTTTGCTGCTCCTCCTGCTGCTCCTCCGGCTGCTGCCAAGAGCAAGTGAACAAACCTCAGGTATGAAACTCTGTCTGCAGCTGGTTATCGTTTGGTTTGTATTGTTTATAGTTTAAGTGTTTTTTATTTTCAGAAGTCAACTTTATTGTCAATCTTCCAGTTTGTGTGTACAGACAGAGAGATCTAAATACCGTTTCCCACAATCCCAAATACAAAAACAAATATATATAAAAATATGTATGCAAATATGTATATACCTATATATGTACAGTACAGTACACAAAAAAAACACAAAAAAACAATAAAACGTATATACTAACTAAGCACTTATATACTAACAAAGCACTTACATACTAACTAAGCACTTACATACTAACTAAGCACTTACATACTAACTAAGCACTTATATACTAACAAAGCACTCCTATACTAACAAAGCACTTATATACTAACAAAGCACTTACATACTAACTAAGCACTTATATACTAACAAAGCACTCCTATACTAACAAAGCACTCATATACTAACAAAGCACTTATATACTAACAAAGCACTTATATACTAACTAAGCACTTATATACTAACAAAGCACTCCTATACTAACAAAGCACTTATATACTAACAAAGCACTTATATACTAACAAAGCACTTATATACTAACAAAGCACTCATATACTAACAAAGCACTTATATACTAACAAAGCACTTATATACTAACTAAGCACTTATATACTAACAAAGCACTCCTATACTAACAAAGCACTCATATACTAACAAAGCACTTATATACTAACTAAGCACTTATATACTAACTAAGCACTTATATACTAACAAAGCACTCCTCTACTAACAAAGCACTTATATACTAACAAAGCACTCCTATACTAACAAAGCACTTATATACTAACTAAGCACTTATATACTAACTAAGCACTTATATACTAACAAAGCACTCATATACTAACAAAGCACTTATATACTAACTAAGCACTTATATACTAACAAAGCACTCCTCTACTAACAAAGCACTCATATACTAACTAAGCACTTATATACTAACAAAGCACTCCTATACTAACAAAGCACTTATATACTAACAAAGCACTTATATACTAACAAAGCACTTATATACTAACAAAGCACTTATATACTAACAAAGCACTCATATACTAACAAAGCACTCATATACTAACAAAGCACTCATATACTAACAAAGCACTTATATACTAACAAAGCACTTATATACTAACTAAGCACTTATATACTAACAAAGCACTTATATACTAACAAAGCACTTATATACTAACAAAGCACTCCTATACTAACAAAGCACTTATATACTAACAAAGCACTTATATACTAACAAAGCACTTATATACTAACAAAGCACTTATATACTAACAAAGCACTCATATACTAACAAAGCACTTATATACTAACAAAGCACTTATATACTAACAAAGCACTTATATACTAACAAAGCACTTATATACTAACAAAGCACTCATATACTAACAAAGCACTTATATACTAACAAAGCACTTATATACTAACTAAGCACTTATATACTAACAAAGCACTTATATACTAACAAAGCACTTATATACTAACAAAGCACTCATATACTAACAAAGCACTTATATACTAACAAAGCACTTATATACTAACAAAGCACTTATATACTAACAAAGCACTTATATACTAACAAAGCACTCATATACTAACAAAGCACTTATATACTAACAAAGCACTTATATACTAACAAAGCACTCATATACTAACAAAGCACTTATATACTAACAAAGCACTTATATACTAACTAAGCACTTATATACTAACAAAGCACTCATATACTAACTAAGCACTTATATACTAACAAAGCACTCCTATACTAACAAAGCACTTATATACTAACAAAGCACTTATATACTAACAAAGCACTTATATACTAACAAAGCACTTATATACTAACAAAGCACTCATATACTAACAAAGCACTCATATACTAACAAAGCACTCATATACTAACAAAGCACTTATATACTAACAAAGCACTTATATACTAACTAAGCACTTATATACTAACAAAGCACTTATATACTAACAAAGCACTTATATACTAACAAAGCACTTACATACTAACAAAGCACTTATATACTAACAAAGCACTTATATACTAACAAAGCACTTACATACTAACAAAGCACTTACATACTAACAAAGCACTTATATACTAACAAAGCACTTATATACTAACTAAGCACTTATATACTAACTAAGCACTTATATACTAACAAAGCACTTATATACTAACAAAGCACTTATATACTAACTAAGCACTTATATACTAACAAAGCACTTATATACTAACAAAGCACTTATATACTAACAAAGCACTTATATACTAACAAAGCACTTATATACTAACAAAGCACTTACATACTAACAAAGCACTTATATACTAACTAAGCACTTACATACTAACAAAGCACTTGCATACTAACAAAGCACTTGCATACTAACAAAGCACTTATATACTAACTAAGCACTTATATACTAACTAAACACTTACATACTAACAACACACTTACATACTAACAACACACTTACATACTAACAACACACTTATATACTAAAAGCACTTACATACTAACTAAGCACTTACATACTAACAAAGCACTTATATACTAACAAAGCACTTATATACTAACTAAGCACTTATATACTAACTAAACACTTATATACTAACTAAGCACTTACATACTAACAAAGCACTTACATACTAACAAAGCACTTACATACTAACAAAGCACTTACATACTAACAAAGCACTTATATACTAACTAAGCACTTACATACTAACTAAGCACTTACATACTAACAAAGCACTTACATACTAACAAAGCACTTACATACTAACAAAGCACTTATATACTAACTAAGCACTTACATACTAACAAAGCACTTACATACTAACTAAGCACTTATATACTAACTAAGCACTTATATACTAACAAAGCACTTATATACTAACAAAGGACTTATATACTAACTAAGCACTTATATACTAACAAAGCACTTATATACTAACAAAGGACTTATATACTAACTAAGCACTTATAAGAAAGGACTGGCTTATCTAAAGCCTGTTGAGTATCACTTGAAATGTTTTGGCTCTATGAAACCTAATGTACTTATATGATTCTGTTTTCTTCAAGTTTGTATCTTCTTGGTCGAATGCACTTATTGTAAGTCGCTTTGGATAAAAGCGTCAGCTAAATGTAATGTACACAATCAAAAGACACGTTTATACATATGCACACATTTAAGACCTAAATAAAAGCACAACAATCAATACATACAAAAATAATAATCACATCAATATCTTTGAAAATGTACATTAGTGCAAGACTGTCCGTAGCAGCGTAAAAAGTGTCTGGTGCTGGATTTGAGTGTTTTTCATTTAATTTGTAATTCTCTTCTCCACTTTTTAAAGTATTTTGAGTATTGTATTATAAAGTCTGAACACAATTCTGCTTCTGTGACGAAAGAATTTCCCAAATGTGGATCAATAAAGTATCTCTGTATCATGTACTGAGCTTAAACAACCACCACAGATCAGGTGTTTCCAGCTGCAGTTCCTCTTCTGTCCACTAGATGCTGCTCTAGGCAAACTAATGAGGCAAATGTAAAGCCCCTACAGAAAGTCAATGCAGGTTTTTTACACAACAAGTTTAATATTAAATTAAACACAGTATTTACTCTGTCAGGTCTATAAGGGCTGGTTGTTTTTTGTTGGTTCTCTCACATTATAAACCAACATATTTTCTCACATGTCCTCCAGTATCACAGTGTCACCTTTTTCTTTCTTCAAGAAACTGGATTATATTGTAATCATGACTTCTCGTGTCTTGTTATTTTTGTCTTCTCGTCGCTTAAATACACACACAGGATTGGTTATTTGATTAGTGATGGTGTGCAAAATAAGTCTGACCATATCAGACATTTTATTGTAGATGCAAACTTCATACAAAAATATACAAATAATACTAAAAGTCAAGACACAATGAAAAGTACAATTAAATAATAATCAAATAAAAAGAAAACTAATCAAAATGGTTTTATCCTAGTTTCTTTTAATATTGAAAGGTCGCTGACATCATAATCTTACTAAAAGCTAAAAAGGATAGTCCTGTTTCTAACTTTCCTTAAAAGCTTCGACCTTTACAGTATATCTTATTATTCGATACATACAGTACTACTTCATGAAGCTGACTGAGCCAAGAGTGTGCAAAGCTGTCATCAAGGCAAAAGGGGGCTACTTTGAAGAATCTAAAATAAAAATCATATTCTGGATTGTTTAACACTTTTTTTGTCATTATTACAAAAATGACTAAATAATTCCATATGTGTTCTTTCATAGTTTTGATGTGTTCAGTATTAATCTACAATGAGAAGGTGTGTCCAAACTGTATCTGTATGGTTTCCCCATGCAGATAGATTAAGATATCCATGTCTTAGAGAGTGTTGTGTACTTTCTCCTGAGTGTTTTGTGTCTCCTTCCCCCTTCAGAGGAGCTGGTATGAGGTCTCAGAGCTGGCTCAGGAGGAACTGGCTGTGGGTGGCCGGCGGGGCGTTTGTTTCCATCCACCTGGCCACCTGGCTGATGCAGACCGCCATGAGAAGCTCTGTGCGCTCTGACGCTGCGCTCAAACAGAAAACTCCCGGGGAACGAATGGACTGACATTATGTGACTTTTCCATAGAAGTCAAGGAAGGAAGGACACCAGCTTGAGTTTAACACAACGGAGGACTGTGACCAACACAATGATTGAGTAACACTCAGATAAATCATCCACTGTGTCTGATTCTGACTTAAAATATTCAATTATCAATGGCCTGACTGCAGTGGAAAAGCTGTTTTTCTGTTGTGTTCTCTTCTGTTTAAAGGACCATTCTGTAGGATTTAGGAGGTGATATTTTGACGGAAAACTTATATAATATATGTTTTGTCAAATGCAGAATGTCGAAATACCGGGATGTGCTTCTGCATCTGGTTGCATTCTGCAGATTGGAAGCCAGCATGCCTTCCTGGCTATTAGGACCCACAACCAATTGCACAGTGGATATATGAGCAAAAGGTTAAAGTTCAAGGTGCTATGTTATCCTTGAGGAAGTCAAAATGATGAAATTACACACTGTACATTTGGAAAAGTAGAGGTATTGAGTTTTTTAACCATGTGTAAGCTCCCTACTAGAGGCAAATGAATCCTACACATTGCTCCTTTAATTGAATGTTTTGTTGATAATTCAGGTTTTGATTTACTGTGAATCCAATAAACAGATGAAATGATCCAAAGTTTCAATACAATCATGTGACCAGTATGAAAGTAAATTGTTAGAAAAATATCACTCGTCACCGGCTTGGTCTTCAATATCAGGATACATGTAATTATTATCCTTGCAATAATGGAAGTAGTCATCACACACAGAGCTGCGTGGGACAAATAGTTCCCAGAGTAGAGTCCTTGATATGCTTTATATACAAGAGAGGGTGTTACAGTCAACAAGATGGAAGAATACCGGTTCAAAGCAGTATTAGTTAAGATTAGCTAAGGCCTGCGTAAGCAATACACATGACAGTCATATGCCTATCTCTCTAGGGGCTGTGTCATCATGCCAGTCTTAGGAACATCATAACTTCAACACAGTGTCTCATGAGCGTCATCCATGTAGTCCTACATCCGGCTACGTACACAGCTACGTAGGGCCTCTGTTATCATGTGCTACTCTGATATAGAAGGAACATTCAGTATTTCCCCAACATACATATATATGGACAGTATCTAAGTTTGAAACATGAACATTTGAAGTGTAGAGCTTTAATTTGTGTGTTTGTGTGAACCAGCTAAAGGGAAAAAGTTGTACCAAATGTTCTTCCAGCAATAGTTGAATTAATTTATTCAAACATGTTGTCCGTCTCCAACTTCCTGTCTGTGTCTCTCCGCACCAAGCCCATTGTTTCTACTGAAAGTGCACACAATACTTGTCAGAAGTTACGTTCAGTGTAAACTAATGATAATAAAAATGTCAGAAATCTGCTTTAACCTCCGAAGTTTTAGGACATTTGCTGAATAGCAGCTACAACTACCATGGTTATCGTTTACAAAATAAATCTACTAGGAAATTGCAGGGCAAAAGTCAATGTTACCCTATTTAAGTGTAACACAGTGAAGATGTGAAGAAGGGAAAACAATTACCAGAGAGGTCAAACTGCGGAAAAACCTTTTCACCTTTTGAACTTTTGCACAGTCGCTGCCATTTCAAAGAAAGGTCTTACTTGGGCCAAAGCCTCAGGAATAGACCGTCATACCGTTAAACAATACACTGTTTTTCTTTAAAAAAATCAAGTTAGGTTTACAGATTTGTTATAAGTCATCAAATCGTTTTTGTTTTTTCTTTCTATCCTGGAAATGCCAGTAGACTTTATTGAGAGAAAAAGAACAGCTGTAAACAACTGGGCTGTAACTCATAAGGAACAAGAGAGAGGAATGGAAAACGTTTTTCCATCATTAAAAACCTAGAAATTGGCCCGTGAAATTCACCGTGTAACTTTGTTTTCTACAGATCCGGCTATAGGGAGCGAGACCAGGGTCCAGTACATTTGCAGACTTTTTACTGCTTTGGAGATTTCATCTTGTTTTCTAACAAGAGTCACACGACTGGCTCTGTGAAGCTGGAAGGGCCATTTTAACCCTCCTATTGTCTTCGTTTCCCCCCCCTTACTTTGGTGTTCGCGGTCAAATTTGACCGGTCCTGTTTTAACTGCTATTACATTAACACAAAAACCATTAATCATCACCAAATGTCCTTTAACACCCTTTCAAACTGTACATATTGTATCAGACTACTGGTATACATGAAAACCTGCAGTTAATATACAAAGAATAAACACTGAACATGTATTGTGTGTGACCCATGTGGGGGGATGGGCACATAAGAGCGGGAAATGTGTCAAATTGTTCTGTGTGTGTGTGTGTGTGTGTGTTTGTGAGTGCCAGGTGTGATTCACATGGGGGGATTGGGCACATAAGGGGGGGGGGGTCACATCTGGAGTATGTGTGTGTGTGTTTTATCTGATCCGGATGGTTACTAATTCCTTTTCTTTATGGCGGTCATTTTTGACCGGGAACACCGGTAAAGTTGACTAAATCATCCAAAATGCAATGAAAGTGGTGATCAGCTATATGTTCAAATGTCTACTGTGAAGGATATCATAAAGCCTTAATGCAATCAAATGTAAAACAAAAAAGTTATGATTGATGAAAGTATTAAATCGGACAGATTTGACCCGAAGACAACAGGAGGGTTAAACTAAAAAACAGAGTATAGACAAATAGACCGGATGATAGCCCTAAGGGGAAATTCACAAAATGTTATAGAATAGAATAGAATCCTTTATTGTCATTATACAGGTACAATGAGATGAGCAGAGCTACTCCTTTTTTTAAGGTGCCATCAAAAATACAAAAAACAAACGAGACGTACAACATTCAGGAGAAGACAACATACAAACAACAAGCATTCATATGACTCATGAGTCATGACTCAATGAAGCTGCATTTTTTATCCATTGAAGAGTTGCTGACTCCTACTAAAGCACAACATGTTTGATCCATCCATGAATTTCTGAAATGACATTCTGAAAGCCAATTTAAGTGAGTAAATGTTGAGATATTTCACAGGACATTTGAAATCTTTGACTTGATGCAGGCGCTACATTAAAAGTCAGAAGATCACAAAAGTCATTACAATTTTCACATATGGAGAGCATTCATTTCTATACAAAATGTCATAGCAATCCATCCAGTAATTGTTGAGTGATTTCATTCTGAAGTGGTTGATCCACTAACACTACCCTCCCTAAAGCCACACTGCTAACATGGCTTATAATGTTTGAAAAGAAAAGCAGTTTGAAGTTGGTAAAACTTTTCTGCATTTCATTTATTTTCCAAATCAATAACTTAACAAGGTTCCATAATGAGGCAGGTTGTGTTTTGCTGAGTCAGAATTCAATTACTCTTTATCATTTACAGGTCCAGAGAAACAATTACAGTCATTGATCATCCTCCTCTCCTGCAGACGTCTGCAACCGTGTTGTGTGAAATAATTACCGTTTCCTATTATCTAAAGTTATTTTGGACCAATGAGTGAACAGAATGAGATCCCATACAGGAGCCCTGCATGATGTTCAGACTCTGGGAGAGAAGCTGATTCAGCACTTTGTTTTATTAGCACTGTGATATTTACGGCAAGTGTTCTTTTGTCCCCCCCCCACCTACGTAGTGTTCATACAGACAGAAAGGTACATGATGTTTACTACTTTAGGATATCTAGACATTTAGTGCATTTATATTGAGGAATAAAGTGATATCTTGTGGTTATTGTTAGCTCCACCTCTGCTCCATGGGCTCTGAATGTGGTGGATTTAGAATTCTAATTCAACATTCTAGAATTTTAATTCAACATTATAGAATTTTTGTTCAACATTCTAGAATTCTAATTCGACATTCTAGAATTCTAATTCAACATTCTAGAATTCTAATTCGACATTCTAGAATTCTAATTCAACATTCTAGAATTATAATTCAACATTCTAGACTCCTAATTCAACATTCTAGAATTCTAATTCGACATTCTAGAATTCTAATTCAACATTCTAGAATTATAATTCGAGATTCTAGACTCCTAATTCAACATTCTAGAATTGTAATTCAACATTCTAGAATTATAATTCAACATTGTAGAATTTTAATTCAACATTCTAGAATTCTAATTCGACATTCTAGAATTCTAATTCAACATTCTAGAATTCTAATTCAACATTATAGAATTATAATTCCACATTCTAGACTCCTAATTCAACATTCTAGAATTGTAATTCAACATTCTAGAATTATAATTCGACATTCTAGACTCCTAATTCAACATTCTAGAATTCTAATTCGACATTCTAGACTCCTAATTCAACATTCTAGAATTATAATTCGACATTCTAGACTCCTAATTCAACATTCTAGAATTCTAATTCGACATTCTAGAATTCTAATTCAACATTCTAGAATTATAATTCGAGATTCTAGACTCCTAATTCAACATTCTAGAATTGTAATTCAACATTCTAGAATTATAATTCAACATTGTAGAATTTTAATTCAACATTCTAGAATTCTAATTCGACATTCTAGAATTCTAATTCAACATTCTAGAATTCTAATTCAACATTATAGAATTATAATTCCACATTCTAGACTCCTAATTCAACATTCTAGAATTGTAATTCAACATTCTAGAATTATAATTCGACATTCTAGACTCCTAATTCAACATTCTAGAATTATAATTCGACATTCTAGAATTCTAATTCAACATTCTAGAATTCTAATTCAACATTTGAGAACTTTAAATGAACATTCTAGAATTCTAATTCAACATTCTAGAATTAAAAATTAATATTCTAAATTTGTAAATGAACATTCTAGAATTGGAGCATTTTAAGATGCTAATATTATGTTCCGAGGAGGGAAAAGGCTATACAATTGAACCATGATGTGGGTAACTTAGCGTCAATCGTTTGATATCTAGACATTTAGTGCATTTATATTGAGGAATAAAGTGATATCTTGTGGATATTGTTAGCTCCACCTCTGCTCCATGGGCTCTGAATGTGGTGGATTTAGAATTCTAATTCAACATTCTAGAATTTTAATTCAACATTCTAGAATTTTAATTCAACATTCTAAACTCCTAATTCAACATTCTAGAATTCTAATTCGACATTCTAGAATTCTAATTCAACATTCTAGAATTCTAATTCGACATTCTAGAATTCTAATTCAACATTCTAGAATTCTAATTCAACATTCTAGACTCCTAATTCAACATTCTAGAATTCTAATTCGACATTCTAGAATTCTAATTCAACATTCTAGAATTCTAATTCGACATTCTAGACTCCTAATTCAACATTCTAGAATTCTAATTCGACATTCTAGAATTCTAATTCAACATTCTAGAATTATAATTCGAGATTCTAGACTCCTAATTCAACATTCTAGAATTGTAATTCAACATTCTAGAATTATAATTCAACATTGTAGAATTTTAATTCAACATTCTAGAATTCTAATTCGACATTCTAGAATTCTAATTCAACATTCTAGAATTCTAATTCAACATTATAGAATTATAATTCCACATTCTAGACTCCTAATTCAACATTCTAGAATTGTAATTCAACATTCTAGAATTATAATTCGACATTCTAGACTCCTAATTCAACATTCTAGAATT